GGTTTCGGAGGGGGTGGAGGGGGGTGCTCCTCCGGTGGAGGAGGCGGAGGATATATAGGTAAAGATGATTTGTGTTCAAGGTGTCACCCCCTCCCTCTTAGTCCTAGGCCCCTCACCTCTCCCAGCCCTCGCCTGCCCTCCCCTGGCCGCCCAAGTGTGGACTGTGATGTGACCGTGCACGCCTGCCTCAGCCCGGGCACCAGCCAGAGGCAGGGTGTTGGCTTGCGAGCCAGCATCCTGCCTCAGGGCTTCCATAGCGACCGCATCAAGATCCCGTGTGGTTCTTGATCACCCCCAAAGCCGATGACAGAGAGGCTTTGGCTTCCCAGACGGTTCTCAGAGCCACCCTAGGGATGTGCTGGCTTGAGAACCTCAGAGGCCAGACTTCTGAACCCCGTGCCTCCCTGTGGATGGCCTGGCCCCTGTCTTTGCAAGCCAGCTCCCTAGGGGCCTGGCTTGTGGCTTCTGGCCTCAAGGACGCCTCACTTTCCCTTTCCTGCCCCAGCCCACCAGCTCCAGAACGGCCCACTCTCCATGCCGATGGGCGCTCCTCCCGGGGGCAACGGCAGGCAGCCCCAGCCCGGCCGGCCCAGCCCAGTCCTTGGGCAAGCAGCTGGCCACTGGCCCGGCTCTCCTCTGGGCTAGCGCAGAGCAGAAGAGCCTTCTGAAGCTGAGAGGCTGGGAAATGGTGTCTCCTCTGTCCCCACAGATTAGGACGCAATGCATGCACACACCGCGATGTTCTGTCTGTGTTTTGCTTTGATGTTTGCCTTAACCAGATGCTCTCTTTTCTAAGCCATGGCTGGGTGGGAGAGCCCGCGGGGGGAGCCCAGAGAAAAGCCAGCCCCAGCTGAATGGAGGGACAGGAGCCTACAGGCACAGGGGCCCTTCCCCCACGTCCCTACCCTGACCCCAGGGGACTGGAGAGCAACTTCTCAGTGCCACTGCCTGGCCAGTCCCGGAGGAGGCCCTGGGGCTGACCCAGCCTGGGAGACTAGAACTTGGCCTGTTCACGTGCACTGCTTCCTGCGGCCTGTGGAGTGGGGACACCCAGAGGGAGCGGGCCTGGTCCTGGAGGGGCCCACACCCAGCATCTACTAAGCCCAGGGCAGCCCTGTGCCTGAGCCTCCCTTCCCTCCCCACCACCCGCCCTCCAGGCCACCCCCGACCCTGGACCCCCCGCATGACCCTCTACGCGCACATGTGTTGAGATTGGGCACCCACCTCTCTGCGTTAAACTTCTCTGGTTTGCCCCAGGTGGCAACGCAGCCTCAGACAATGACCCTGAGATGGACGGAGAGGATGGGGTGTCCTTCATCAGTCCCCTGGGCATCCTGTACACCCCGGCTTTAAAAGGTACCCCCTCTGCCAGGTGCAGAACCAACTTCCTTAGGCCACTTCTCCCACCCAGCTGAGCCCCGGGCTGCTGGCAGGAGCCCAGGATACGCCAAGTGTCCTGGAGTCGGGAGTGTGGTCTCATGTGGGCACAGAGGCTGAAGCCTGATGACCAGGCAGGCCAGTCCTAGAAAAGGAAACAGCATTAGGGCTGTCCCCGGCCCAGCCAACTTGAGGAGCAGGTGTGTGGACTCCCCACCCCCACCCCGGCCTACATAAATACATCCAAACAGCCTCTGCGCCCCCCTTGCCAGAGGCACCGGGCCCTTTCCACACAGAGCAGCGCTCCAGGGGCAGTGCCCTAGGGACAGGGACCGAGAGCCCACACTGGCCGCTGGAGATAAAGCGCAGGCTGGGAAGGGTGCAGGCGGCACAGGTCCGCCCAGCTAGCCGCCCTCCTTGCCCACAGTGATGGAAGGCCACGGGGAGGTGAATATTAAGCACTACCTCAACTGCAGCCACTGCGAGGGCGACGAGTGCCACCTGGACCCCGAGAGCCACCAGGTCATCTGCTTCTGCGACCACGGCACCGTGCTGGCTGAGGACGGGGTCTCTTGCGTTGGTAAGGGGCTGGGCTGGGGCCCGGAGAGTGAGCCACAGCTGGTCTCCATGGTTCAGGGACATGTGGGACCCAGTTTTGTTAACTTCCTGACCCCCCTCCTTGGTCTGCCCCAGCGTGAGTGCTCTGACAACTAGGCAGAGACCTGAGTGTGAAGGATGGGTCATGGCTCACGAAGGAGTCTGAGTCACCTAGTGCCACCCCTAACCCAGGGCGTGAACCCCCACATCCGCACCGGGGCCAGCCGTCTCCGCTAGAACAGGGACCTGCGCTCCAAGGCCCGCCCTTCCTCCAGGGCCAGACCCGCTCTGCAGCGCCCGCCCCTCGGTCTCCCCAGCCTTTCCAGTGTGTCCCCTGCAAGTCTCCTCCAGATTGAATGACCCGGGTTCAGTCCATCCGCACAGGACACCGTCGTCTCCTCCCCTCCTGTGTCCCACGTCTGCCGCTGTTCCAGTTGTCACGTCCCTTTTGAGATGCAGTGTCGGGGCCAGGCAGGACCTCGGTGTGGTCTGTGCCAGTGCGGCGCTGGGACACCCCCTCCTGGGCTCTGGGCCGGGCCGCGCTCTCGGTTGATTCCGAGGGTGCACCCTGTTGTTGGGTCATCCTGAGGTCACTGTCATCCAAGGCCTGGAAGTCTCCTGTGACCATTGCCGGCTCACCTTGTAGCCTCACCCCCCATCGGACAGTCCGTATCTTGGATTAATGTCCATTTAGACTTGTTACATGTTCCCTCCACCCCAAAGCTGCTGCTGACGGCTGTGAAGCCGGGCGAACCTGCCTCCGGCCCCTGGTCCTCTGAAAAGGAAGGTGGGCCTGTCTACAGGCCTGAGAGGAGCAGGCGGCTGTGGTCCTGGCCGGGGCGGGCATTTCTGATGGGGCCGCTCACAGGAGCATCAGTGTGGTCACCGGTGTCTCGTGGGGACTGTCTTCCAGTGTCGCCCACCCCCGAGCCCCGCCTGCCACTCTCACTCATCCTCTCCGTCGTGACCTCTGCCCTCGTGGCCGCCCTCGTCCTGGCGTTCTCCGGCATCATGATCGGTGAGTGTGCCACAGCCCTGGCTGCCTAGGGGAGGCAGGGGAGGCAGGACAGAGCAGCGTCTCGGGCTCTGCACGGCCCCCGAGTGACGCTCTGGGTTGTGACCAGGCAGCCCGGGCCCCGCACAGCTGTGGCTCCCTAGGAGCCCTGGTTCTGAACCTCAGCCCGACTCCTGGCTGCTCTCGGGGAGGCGGGTGGGGCACTCTGCAGGTGGGTCCCCAGCTCAAGCACAGCCCCGCCCTCACCCCCGGACTTCACCTCCAGCTCCCATCCCAGCAGGCACTGCCCCTAGTGGCTCACGCCCCTGCACCGCCTCCAGCCCCCTTCCCGCCACAGGCGGAGAATGCAGAGTTGGTTTGTGAGTTTCCTGTTAAGCCTGGAGCCAGGTGAGCTGATAGGCAGGTTGCAGAGGGCTTCGCATGGTGCTGCAAGGCTCCTCCTGCTGGAAATGCCCAGGACAGGCAGGCAGGGACAGGAAGGGAAAGGCTCAGCTCTAAATCCGAAGTCACCCTATGATCACGGCTGCACAGTTCATGGCGCAGGGAACTGAGAGCTGGCTCACTCGCAGGCCATAGGGGCAGAGCTGGGCTTAGAGGCAGACTCCACCTGTGGGTCACAGTTGCGGGCTCCCTCCCCTGGAGTTAGCCTACAGAACGTTCTCGCTATGTATAACAGAGATAATGCCTTTGCATGGTAGAGCTCTTTCGAATTTTTCAAAACCATTTAATATTGGTGAATTTATGTCATTAAGACAACCCTAGGCGGTGGGGTATGGGACAGGGCAGGGGTTACTTACCCTGCTTACGCAGGAGACTGGCGTCCAAAGAGGTCACATGACCTAGTCAGTGGCACTGGGCTTGTAAGTAGCAAAGGTGAAATTAGAACTCGGGTCCTCAGGCACCAGCTTAGACGCCAGTTTAGAGACCTATTCGCTCTGGCAGTTCCACTCCCGGAAGGTCAGTGACGGTGAGCCCGGCTGCTCTCAAATCCATACCATGTTTGCACCACCCGGAGACTGGGCACAGCGAGTGAGGGACACGGCTCCTCTGAGGGCCACTGTGGCTCCAGAACGTCCCCAGTGCTTTGCTGGAACATCTTTACGCTGCATGGCCATCGAGGGCTGTTCCTCAACCTCCCTCACTCTCCTGCACGCGGGGCCAGACTTTCAGCACAACCTGGTGGTTCCCCAGCCTTCCCGGGCCCCTCCCCATTTCCTCTCAGCCATTTGCCCTGTGAAACTCTGCATGTTTAATCCTGTCTTGGGTCTGCTTCTCAGGGGACCCAAACTAATGTCTCTCTGCCCCTGTATGATACAGCAAAGTCTTTCATTTATATGATATTAAGCTTTACATTAACTTTAAATAATATGTCGATTAAAAGTACACTTTCACTTCTATAATCATTTTGTTAGTATTACTAAGTGTGATGGAAAGGTTTAGATCTCAGAGGAGGAGATGGCGGTCCAGGAAGGCTTCCTGGAGGAGGTGGCCAGTGATGGGCTTCCAGTGCTGGGCTGCCTGGTCCAGGCCACTTCCATCTGTCTGCAGTGTACCGCCGGAAGCACCAGGAGCTGCAAGCCATGCAGATGGAACTGCAGAGCCCCGAGTACAAGCTGAGCAAGCTCCGCACCTCAACCATCATGACCGACTACAACCCCAACTACTGCTTTGCCGGCAAGACCTCGTCCATCAGTGACCTGAAGGAGGTGCCACGGAAAAACATCACCCTCATTCGGTGAGTGCCCCGGCCATCCTTCAGGGAAAGGGGGTGTTCTAGGGGTTGGCTGCCACCCAACACAGGTTCCTCTAGCCACAGGAGGCCAACAGAAGTAAAAGTTACTTTTAATCGAAACTCCTAGGGCACCCTAACCCTCCCAGAGGGAGAAGGTTTAATGCTCAGGGCCATTTGAGGGGCATTAAATCACTCAACACCCTGTATGTTCATGGGGTTTGTACAATGAGAGGAAGACTACATGGGAGGGACCAGGACTCTCAAAACCCACACAAGTGCCCTCCCTGAGCCTTCCTGGCCCCTTTCTCCCCTGATGGAGCCGAGTGGCCTCCTCCGAGCTCCCAGACACCCTGTGCATGTCACTCACTGAGCACCACACAGAAGTGTCTGTCAGCCATTTGTCCCTCCCTCCCTCCCCCAGAGTGCAGACCTTCAGGGCGAGGGCCGGGTCTCAGTCACCTCTGTGTCCTTGGCAAATGTCAGACTCAAGTCTTCACTGAAGGACTGTCCACCACTGCCATGTCTCCCAGGCTGTCACATCTCTTGGCAGTTCTCAGACAAAGCAATGGAGGCCCAGGGCTGAGTAGCAAAGCCAGGGTGAGGTGTGACCTTGAGTGAGTGTGTGCCCCCTTCCTCTCGGCCTGCCCGCCTACCTCATCTGGCCTTCTCCTTTGCACAGGGGTCTGGGCCATGGTGCGTTTGGGGAGGTGTATGAAGGTCAGGTGTCTGGAATGCCCAACGACCCGAGCCCCCTGCAAGTGGCGGTAAAGGTAAGCGGGGTCCCTCGGGGGCCGGAGCTTGGCCAGCGGTCTCTGTTGGCCACAGTCTTTGCCGACAGCCCTCCTGCGGCTAAAGGCCTTCTCCCATCTGTGCCCAGACGCTGCCTGAGGTGTGTTCCGAGCAGGACGAGCTGGATTTCCTCATGGAAGCCTTGATCATCAGGTAGCGTCACAGAGACACCCCACCGCCCACATGCACGTGCTTCTGACAGATGTCCCAGAGGGAACCCCCTCCACACACCCCTCCCTCTCCACCAGCAGACTCCCCCAATTCTCAGCATGGCCTACCAGAATGGAACAGCCCCCCAATGGTTGTCACTGGGAAAAATCTCTCTGACCAAATAATGCAATTGGTACTACTCTGCCGTCAGCTAACATTCATTCACTCTTTTCCCTGCTTCTTAAGAAACAGAGTGTGCTAGTTATAATCTCTCTCCAGGTCACTCCTCTACCAGCCTTCCACCAGCCCCAGCTCTCCCGTGTGCCCCTCACGTGGTGGAAGCCTGCCCCCCCCCCCCCCCGGTCCACGCAGCAGCCTGGACCCTGCAAATTGTGGGCCGAGGCCCCTAACTGGGAATCCCAGTGCCAGGGCTCTTACAGCAGATCACGTTAAGGAGGACTCAGGGGTTTGACCGTGAGATCTGGCGGCTCATGGCCTCCTGTTGCCCTGCAGAGGCTCAGACATCCTGAAGGTTGGGGCAGCCTGGGGCCGCCCCTCGGTGGAAGTGGGCGAGGGAAGGAGGCCCGAGCAGTGTGTGTGTGATGAGCCTGTGGCATCTTGAAGCACAGGAGGACCGACAGCAGGCTCTGTACTTGCTTTAAAAATACTGACTTTCCAGATATACATGTGATACATGGATAATGGAATAAAACTTGGAAAGTATAAGAACTATATGAAGAAGACCCAAGTCACTCAATCTCACTACTTGGCAATAACTACCCGCCGTTGTATTTCACCTCTGCGTGTGGGTTCCCACGCCGATTGCCAGGCCCATCGCCCCATGCGTGGGAACAAGGTCACATGAATAAGAAAACCCAAATCCCAGGGCCTCCGAGAGGAACCCACAATGGGAGCCATACGCCCCTCTTTCACATGCCGTCACCTGGCAGGTCTCACCCGGTCCCTGTGGAAGGAGTCCCCGCGCTTCTGCCTGAGGCCGGCCTCTGAGGACTCAGACGTGAACCCTAGCAAGCAGCCCGTGCATCCGTCGCAGAAAGACACTGGACGCTCCCCTGTCTCCACCCACTTTCTCACCCAAGTGTCTGTGCAGGGTCCTCCCACCTCCCACCAAATGCTCTCCTGCAGCCTGAGCTCGGCCAGGCCTGCCCTCCGGCTCTTCACCTGCTCAGGGGCGAGACAGTCTCAGCTTAGGCTCAGCACGGGCCCCTGCTTCCAGCATCGACAGAGTGCATTTACATAACGTGGCTGCTGACAACATAACTGTCTCCTGCTGTCCCCACTGGTTTTCCAGACTCAGCTCAGTTACATTTGCTTACCTCCCTCTGCTCTGCAGCAAATTCAATCACCAGAACATCGTGCGCTGCATCGGGGTGAGTCTGCAGGCCCTGCCCCGGTTCATCCTGCTGGAGCTCATGGCAGGAGGAGACCTCAAGTCCTTCCTCCGGGAGACCCGCCCTCGCCCGGTGAGTCTCCCCGGTGCTCGTGCCAGGAACGGAGCAGGGCAGCTGGGAAGCAACTCGTCGGGGGGCCCTGGGAGTCAACCCCTGGGCTTGGATGTGGGGGAAAGGCCAGGAGAGAATGAACAAAAGTGGACAATGGCCCTGGGAGCTCATGCAAGGCCTGTGCAATGGATTCTCCAGTCTGGGTCCATTCGTATGACCCACTGACTATGGACAGGCACAGAGAGGGACAGTCGTGCCAAACAGGTCGCTCACCCAACCAGCTATATCCATTCACCCTGAACCCCACTGTCATTTCGCAAATGGCAACGTCCTGACCTTATAGTTTGACTATCAAAACCAAGTACTGAAATATCTAGGAAGGTGCTGTGTGTGTGTTATAGTAAAAGGGCTAGAGACCTAGGTGGGTCCAGGAATGCCACACCCCGGCCCTGCTTGGCCATTACAAAGCCTTGTGGTTTAGGGCAGACTACCCAATCTAACCTCTGTATCTGCAAGGTAAAGTCCAAGGGCTAGACTAAGGGTACTTGAACTTGTGTTTCAGGTCTTCTCTCCGCCGCGAGCCTCTCACCAATGGATCATTTCTGTCTCCCCACAGAACCAGCCCTCCTCCCTGGCCATGCTGGACCTTCTGCATGTGGCCCGGGACATTGCCTGCGGCTGCCAGTACCTGGAGGAAAATCACTTCATCCACCGGTGAGTCCACGTGCTCTGCTCTCCTCCCGCCTTCTACATCTTCCTTACCCGTCTCAGGCCCTGCTCTCCTCCCGCCTTCTGCATCTTCCTTACCCGTCTCAGGCCCAGCTCTCCCTTCGAGTGCAATGATGGGTCTCCCTCCAGTGAGGACTCAGCTTTCTTTGTCTTTACGGTGACAGCTTACCACCCAGCTAGAGACCCTGAGGAGCTGCTCATAACCCCTCCCTGTGACTTGAAGTGAAACCTTCAAGTCCCGTATCACTTGAACGCTCCCTATCCTAAAAGCTGAGCTCCTTGCCCGGCCGTTGTGACTCTGTGATTGAGCGTCGATCTATGAACCAGGAAGTCACGGTTTGCTTCCCTGTCTGGGCACATGCCCGGGTTGTGGGCTCGATTCCCAGAGTGGGGTGTGCAGGAGGCAGCCGATCTATGATTCTCTCTCATCATTGATGTTTCTATCTCTCTCTCTCCCTCTCCCTTCCTCTCTGAAATCAATAAAAAAATATATAAATTAAATTAAATAAAAACTGAGCTCCTTAAGGCACGTTAAAGGAGTTCATAGTTTCACACCCTTGACTATGAGTGCTCAAAGGCAAGGACCCTGTTTTATTCATCTTCGTACCCCTGACACATACTGAGGCACAAGGAATGTTTGTTGGATAAATTAATTTTTCTGAAATACACTGAAATGAGCATAATGATTATTTGATTTACTTGTACACCTGACTTCTACTCCACCGGATCCTTGTGTTTCATTGGTGTTTGGGCTATGACCCAAGGCCACGGGCCATGCTGTAGGCATCAGAGCATGCAGATCTCTGTCCTGTGGCTGCGCGGGACTTTCTCAGCTGACAGCTTAATTCTGAAATCTGAAAAGTTCAAGAGATTGTCAGGCTCTTTGCAAAGCTCTTCCTAATGACTTCCTTCTAATTTCATAAGTAACAGCCTGGTGAATTAACAACTATGTGTTAGCTCACGTCTCCAAAGGGGATAGGCATATTCCTAATAATTAGGATATGAAATACAAAGTAGAAAACGAGAGGTGCTGCCTGAGGCTAGAAATGGAAGAGCATGTGTGTAGCAGGAAACTCTGCCTTCTCCCTAATAAAAATGGGGAATTCAAGATCAAGGCATACACCCACCTGGCTGCCCAAGGTATTCCCAAAACCAGGCTGCAAACCCTCACTTTTACTGTCACGGCACCTCTGGTCTGCAGTTCTTCCTCTTGATTCTAAGCCTTCCGAACCTCCGGGTGATTTTTCCTGATAGAAATAACAGCAGAAGCAGAGGAGGAGCGGGGCCAGGCCTTTCTGTTCTCCTCCAAAGCCACACCCCCTGCTTCAGAGCGCAGGTCAGTCTGCCGTGTTGTTCTTGTCCTGTCTGTGTGCCCAGAACGTTGCCTGCATCTCAGCTCTTTCCTGTCGCACGGACATGACAAAGCTGTGCCCTTTGTGGAATTCGTCCTTGGTTACAGCCACCTTTGCATCAATGTCTATGTCCTTTACGACTGGACCATCCGAGAGCGACCTGTACAGTTACGTTGGTGCCTTCAGATGTCCCCCTTTGCTTCTCCCCGAGAGCATCTCTGCTTTGTCGTCTCCTCTTGCAGCATCACCGAGCAGACACACTCCCTGGCTGAGGGATCCCATCCATCTTTCCTCCGATGTGTTGAAACCTGCTTCCCTGGAGCCATGATACCTGGGACCATATCCAGGGCTCTGTTATTAGAGATAATAAGATAACAGGGCCCCATTCTCTCAGGATTTCCATCGCCTCCGTATCTGCAAAGAGTTACTGAAGGTCAGGATTTGATCCCAGAGTAATAGCTTGTGGCTCCTTTTATCTTGTTTGAGAAATGAAATTGTCAGAGATAAATCAAGAATGTATCAGATGATCTGCTTTATAAGCAAAAGGCGACTTCAGGCAGAAATTGACTGTCTCAATCCAAGCTTTGCTTCTGGGGAGCTCGGTATGAGGAAAGCATCTTTTGCATCTCCAACGGGCTGCGAGGTCTGTGGCGCATGCCCACGAAAGGATCCCCTCTCATTCTCTCTCCTCCACCCTTTGTCTGCCCCCGATTCCCAGGCTCCCATGCAAGGGCACCCCCTGAATTCAGAGTGAACGCCCCCACACACTCCCATTTTCTACTAGGGCTGTTTCCTTTGGTTGTAGTTTTTTACCACTTCACAAATTATGTGTCATTCTACCAATTCCTGGTGTGTTCTATGATACTATATTTACTTTCTTGCCATTAAATTCAAGATCACTTTTTGAAGCAACCATTCCACGCACATCAGCGTAAAGACCTTTCTGGAGTCATAAATACTGTCCCTGGTCTACTTCGCTGTATTTCTCTTGAGAAGTAATGGCTATATATCCCACTATTTTTCTTCTTTTTGGTGTCATACATGTTATGCTTCTATGGTTTTATTAGGGCATTTTATGCACCATTGCTCCTCGAAATTCAACTTAAACCTCTGGGCCAGGTCCGTGGTATCAACAACATCCGTCTCCCTCCCTGGCCCATCGTTCCGGTTTCCTAAGCCACAATTTCCAATCCAGATCTTGTTTTTAAAACACGCTACAGTTGTTTATTCTGCACGTCCTTCTCGACCAAAGATCAGGACCTGCATGAAATCAGTCAGAAACGTGCAAGCACCAGCTGTGGCCCCCAAGGACTGCTACTTGTTTCTGCCCTGGACTTGTTAGGCCACCCCAGACTCCCTGGCTGCACCCTGCTCCCACGGGAAGGCCAGGAGTGGGGGAGCCAGCAGTCAGTGAGGAGTGGCGAAGCCTCTGGCTGTGCCTTAGGATGCTGCCAGCAGGTAGGCCATCTGGCGCTCAACGGAGAAGAGAATGTGGCTCCAGAACCTGGAAGAAGTGACTCTTCGGCCACTGGCTAGGAGGCAGGCGGCTTAGCAAAGGCTTTGGAGGAGATCCTGGAGGGGAGAACCATCATGGCTGATGAACAAGGACAACTTTAGATATGTGGGCATACCTTAACCTACTTGAATTTGGTATCATGGAAGCCATGCTGTTCCAGATGACACCTTCAAACAGCTGGCAGAAACCAACCGGCAAGCTGTACACACAGTAGCTTCAGAATGCCTTGGTCCCTCTATTATCTGCTTTTAGCTTAATTTGTTTAATGAAATGAAGATAATCGCACCCTTTATCTCATAGGGTTGTTGTGAGAATTAGATATGAAGCACTTAGGACAATACTTAGTACATGGTAAAAGGCCAATAAATTCTAGTTTCTATTATGGTTATTTTCATATTATTGTCCTAATAAACATTTTCAATCATCTCCCTAAGCATTTCCCATTGCCCTTGAGTTCTGAGGCCTAGAATTGGCATGGCTATCTCTTTTATATGAAGTGTAACGCAGTAAAGGAAGCATAGAGCCGAGGCGGGAACAACTCACCCTTCCGACGAGAGGTGACAATCCTAGTGCTGAAACTACGCCTGTATTCTCCCAGAGGGAATAAGGAAATGCGTTTCCCATTGATTTGTTCCCAGGGACATTGCTGCCAGGAACTGCCTCCTGACCTGTCCGGGCCCTGGAAGAGTAGCCAAGATTGGAGACTTCGGAATGGCCCGGGACATCTACAGGTAAGCAAAGACCGCGTCACCTTCTCAGCCCAGCCCTCGGGAGAATGGGATGTGGCTGCTTGTGTCCTAAATCATCGCTGGCACCTTGTCAACTTGCTGCCTAAAATTTCATTACGTTCCTTTGCAGGGTGTGGGGAACCTTAATCAGTGCCCACACTCGACGGTCTAAATCCAGGGTCACACTGCCCACCATGATCGACACCAAGTTATTCATTAGATCGTGTCCGGTTTCAGTGCTCTATCCTAACACATTCTGAGACACAGAATAACGGATACGCGATACGGAAAGAGTTTCTATGTAAACTTTAACTCAGGAAGTCCAAGCGGCCTTAGTTTCCATGGCCAGGCAAGAGCACCCTGGAACTGGCCGGATGCCGGGCCCAGCTCATGGGTCGCCTTTACCCACACGAGGAGACACGGAGTAGAGCTCAAAGCCCATAGGTACCTAGCTCAGCTTCATTCTTTTTCCCATAATATTCTCAAGACTACATTTTAAAACGTAAAATATTTTTTAATTAAAAAACTACTTCTTTGCACTTTATCTCACGTTACTTCTTTATCTAATCATTTACAACAGTGACCTGCTCCGTGAGCTGAGCAAGCCACTCAGGGCGTGATCAGCCCCTGGAAATTAATTTTTTTAAAATTTTAATAGCAGTTACTCATCGCCCCCAAATGCACCTGTGGCCATCACCGCCCCCCTGGATCGCTGCAGCGCCCACCGGGGGGGGGCGGTAGCGCCCACTTTGGGAATCACTGATCTAATCATTTACAACAGTGACCTGCGCTGTGAGCTGAGCAAGCCACTCAGGGCGTGGTCACTAATCACGTCCCTAATCCAGAGAGAGGAGGGAGGTCATGCAGGGCTCTTACTGTTGGAGGGTTAGGGAGACCCCTGAGGCCTCCGTCAGAACTGTCTGCCGTCTGCGAGGGAAGAAGGCCGAGGCCATGCTGTTGCCACAGGTAGCAGCTCGGGGAAGACTCTGAATTGGCAACGTTCTTGACCACAGTCATCAGCACTGGTCTCCACCACGATACCTTGGTTTGCTGCACTCTACCTTCTTTTGCTACCCAACGTCTCAGGGTTCCCTCCCCTCCTTTCTCAGAGGACCCCGGGGTGCCTGTGGTTGATGACACTAATGTCGCAGCATGGCTTAGCAAGCCTTTCCCCTCCATCTTCACTCTCACAGCCACAACCCCCTCCCCAGACTCCAGGCTTCACCCCCCAACCTGTCCCGCGGCTCCCACACGTACTGCAATTTCAGCATCAGGACGGTGTTCTGGGGGAGCTTCCTCACCATCACCCCCCCCCCCCCACCTCTGTGAATCACTTCCTGTCCCCGCCCCGCCCTGAGCAGAACATCAGTTCTTCACTGTGTCATGGAGCCTCTGCACCCTCCCTCACTACATGCTGCTCTTACTGCGTGTTCTTGCGTCTGTTTCTCCCACTAAACCCTTTCCTTGGAAGACTTATTTATGTCCTCGCCACATGGCAGAGCACCTGATACACTCTAAACACTCAGTATTGTTTGTTGAAGTGATTAATGAAGCCAGGCAGCTGGTTGGAAAGCTGCCTCCCACGGTGTCAGGAGAGCACAGGCCGAGGGTGGAGCTGGTGTCAAAAGCATAGACGGTAATTGACTAGTTTTCATCAGTGACTTGCACTAATGACATCACCGATAAAAGATAATAAATTAACTCGTACCTGTTCCGCTGCCTGGCGTGCTTGTCACGTGCTGATGTTGAGCTAAATGTGTGTGGCGCTAGGAGGGAGCCAAAGCGAGTAAGACAGCCCTGCTCTCCGTGCTCCCACGTGGACTTGCATTCCTGTGGCTCAGCAGGAGCAGGCTGCACCGACTCGGCTGGAGTCATGTTGCTCATTGTGAGTTACAGCAAACACAGCCCAGCAGGACCTCCCCGTCCTCTGTGGGTTCTCAGTCGTTGTGTAGATCTTGCCTTTTACGCCTCCGGGGGGCAGTTTTGTGTCTCATTAAATGACAACAAAGTTCTTAACCAAATGATGTGTTCCCTGCTCTCCTAAACCACAGACCTCATTGGTTTCCATCCTTTCATGGGTAGACAGTTGCACTTGCTCAATTGCCTGGAGCTTCCTCTCAGAGCCGTCTCCGAACCAAGTTCACTTTTCCTCTCCTCCCACAGAGCGAGCTACTACCGAAAGGGCGGCTGTGCGATGCTGCCAGTGAAGTGGATGCCCCCGGAGGCCTTCATGGAAGGAATATTTACATCCAAAACAGACACGTGGTGAGTCTTTCTGCTGCCCTCCCCCAGGTCCCACGTGGGCCCTGTGTCGGGCAAGGGTCGGAGAAGCGTCAGCACCCCCGTCCACCGGCGGCCCTGGACGCTGGCACACATCCGCATCATCGGAAAGGCTCCTTAAAACACATCACTGGCTCCTCCCTGGGAGTTTGTGACTCAGACCTGAGAATCAGCATGTCTTAAGGTTCCCAGGGCGCTGATACTGCTGGCTAGGGCACACACACGGAGAGCCACGTGTAATTTTTTTTTTTTTACATGACAAAGTTGGGTTTGGATTTATTCCAGGAGTGCAGCATTGAGATGGGATTAGAAAATTGAGCGATAAAATTCTCCACATTAACAGAATAAAGGAGAAAAGGTGGGGCACTAAAGGGCTGCTGACCGTGGCGGTGAGACCCTTCCTACAGCTAAAGATAAGCTGGGGCATCGCTGTCCGCACATCAGCTCTGCAGACTCCGCCACCCGCAGGCCTTCAGCTGTGTGCTCCCAGCCCCACACCCACCGTCCTGCTCTGCCTCTGTAATACCACATGCCGTGGGATCATGCAGAATTTCTCTCTCCGTGGCCGGCTGATTTCACTTAGCATAATGCCCTCCAGGTTCACCCAGGATCTCAAAGAAGACAGATTTCCTTCTCTTTAAGGATGAAAATATCATACACACACACACACATACATACACCCACGGATGAATAAAGAAAAGGTGATGTGTGTGGTTATATATACACATGTGTGTATATATTTATGTATTAATATATGTATTAATATATATGTATTAGGATATTAATCTAGACACCTAGTAATTATTAATTATATCCTATATAATAAAAGGCCAGCCACCATAAGCGTAACCACCAGAACGACCAGAGACCAGAACCACCACTGCCCCTTGCAGGGCTGGCCCCACCCCCAAGCAAGCGGTTAGGGGCGATCAGGCAGGCAGGCAGAGTGGTTAGGGGCGATCAGGTAGGCAGGCCAGTGGTTAGGGGCAATCAGGTAGGCAGACGGCCCCTCGCAGGGCTGGCCCCACCCCCTAGCAAAGAAAGAGGGAGGCCCAGGCCACCTGCAGCAACTCTGTGGCAGGTGTGCTGCTGGCCAGCAATAGGCCCGCCGAGGGAGGCCCAGGCCAGCCAAGCCATTGCACCCCATGCCTGTTGCCGGCAGAGGGAGGCCACCAGTGGCAGGGGAGGTGGGGGACAGTGCTGCACAGATGGCAAGCAGTGGCAGCGGCAGGGGTGGGGCCAGCTGTCTGCAGCCGGGGGAAGGAAAGCCCCAATAGGCCCTGATCTCAGGCCAGGCCTAAGGACCCTACCCAAGGGGTCCCAGATTGTGAGAGGGTGCAGGCCGGGCTGAGGAACCCTCCCCCCCCCCCCCCACCAGTGCACAAATTTCGTGCACGGGGCCTCTACTTGTTTAATAAAAAGGATAGCTAGATAGATAGATAAATAGATAGATAGATACCACCTTTTCTTTATCCTTTCATCCACTGACAGACACTTAGGTTGTTTCCATATCTTGGCTATTGTGAATAACGCTCAGTGAACATGGAGTGCAGCCATCGCTTTGAAATACTGATTTGTTTCTTTGGCTAGCTCCCCAGAAGAGGGGTTGCTGGGTCAGAAGGTAGGATTGCTGGGTCTGTTTTTAGCTTTGGCTTATTATCCTCACCCGGTGGATCTCAAAGTGAGGTCTGTGGATCAGCAGCATCAGCACCACCTGGGAACTTGTTAGAAGCAAATTCTCAGCCACCACCTCCGGCTAAGGAAGCAGAAACTCTATGGGTGAGCCCAGCACTCGTGTTTTAACGAACCCCCAGGTGATTCCTGTGTGCACCAACATTAGAGCACCCCAACCCACCCCATCCAGGTACAGAGAGAAATGCAGGTAATTAAGTCCTTATTCTGAACACATGCATGTCCTATTTCCCTGTGATCCTAGTTCTAAGTGTCGAGAGAGAGAGCATGACACAAATAGACTTGAGCAAGGATGTTCATCTCAACATCGTTCACAATGAGAAAAAGCTACAACTGCCTAATGTCCCTCATATAGGGAATAAAAAAAATAAGCTGGGGTTTACTTATGTCACGGGGAGCTACTCAGCAGTATAAGAGCACACACTGCACCTCATATATCAACGTGGCTGAATTTCCAAAAAGGAGCAGGGTATTATTTAATACAAACATTAAGTCCATAATACAGAAACTTTATTGTTTATGCTTTCACACATTGGGAAGAACATACATGGAAGGAGACCTGCTAACTTCAGGGAACCGGGGAGAGAGCAGGAAAGGGTGGAGGGTGGCGCTTACCCGGATCTATTATGTAGCTTCAAAAAGAGAGTGAAGTATGCAACTAAAGCAACATAACACTATCTTGATTCAAGCAGCTCCGATTCC